AACTTAATTTTCTACGTGCTTTCGTTGCTGTAGTTGTTAAGATTTATCAGGATTGGTTCGCGGATTGGGCGATGCCTAACCTTTTTCTCTTTTGTCGGAAGGCCTGAAAGAAATTTTGGTTTACCTTGCGAGTGGAAGAGCGAAAGCATGGTAAGTTCGATTGCGCATGCACCTCTCCAGTAAATCGTGACCTGCGCCCACCTCTTGATCCTGTACTCCCTGTGACGCTTGCTGAGTCCTGGAAATGACTCGTATAAACTGACCACCGGCCGCGCATAGACGTTAGGTTCGGGGCACGGGTCGGCAACACGTAGAGACTATGCAGTGGAGCGCGGCCACAACTAAACGCGATGACTGTCAGGGTCATGCCGCCGTAGCAGGCAGCCATACGGGATTGGGCAGTATGGTGAGGTCACGTACACGGATAAGAGGAGGCGTCACAGAGAACGGTTAGTGGCAAAATATACACAAGAAAACGTCTGAAGAGCGAGCGAGGGGATAATTGCATCTATGATAGGTTCTGGAGCCCAGACGAAAGTGGAGGTTCTCCCAGCAATGGGAGGGTAGGGTAGGGGCCGCGACGATCTGTTCTGGAAATACGTGGTGAGTGATTGATTCCATTGTTGTTTGCTTTTACTGTATACTCCAAGTATGGCTTTCTCTAACTTCTTTCTTTGATAGTCCTTTGGCTTGTCTGCAAATAATGCTTGTACCAACTTTATATTGACGGATGATGATATATCCATACAAAATAAAAGAACAAGAGTCATCCTCGTATCATAATGATGTCTTTAAGTTAATTTTCTAAATCGTCTCAATGAAAGTGTATACTTATACTAGCCACGCGAACACGATATCCTGCCGCCAGCACACGACATCGTCTCTCTGAAGGAGTCGTAAGAATTCTTTGCCAAATACGACATGTCTTCTTCTCCTACATGGATTAGGATTAAGGAAGTAGATGTCGTTGGGTGAAGCGTACACTATATACAACATATAGATAATTTCATCACGCAGCAATATTATGAGCCATAAAAATCATGTACATCAATGGAAAATAAAACAGACGACCACTTCCATGGTGTGATCACTACGAAAAGGCTTTACGGAAGGCAGATGGGAGGGTAGTTTGCATTTGGAGTGTTGTGTCGAACATGATAAATAACACATATCATATCCTTTGAGCCGTCATTAAAGATTGCTGTGATTTCCCTTATAACCTCACATGTGCGGACATCTCCTCATCCAGACAGATCTTGATGCTACACGGATTAGCTATGCTCAGGAAGAAGCTGTCATAATATAGATCATGTAATTCACATTAGCTACTATCTGAGACGTTTACTCGGATGAGCTCAAAGAATATGTTCAATGCACATGCTGGTGAGTACTTTTGTTATCATGATAACCCGGTTTTAGATCCCATCGGGTCTCGTTGACTTATTCTGTCTCTTTTGCTTTGTTTGATGTTACACTCACCATATCGCGTTCACAATTCTTAACTGCTGAGCAATTGTCTAGACCTACGCAATGTCTATTTCGAGTATATAGAAAACATGGACTTTATAGCGCCGGATTGACCAAGGCGGACATACACACGAGAAAAAACTTTGGATACATACACTGTGCTATGGAAAACAAATTTCAGCAATCTGTTTGACAAGCACGTTTTCCTCGGGGCTGAATCGTGCTTGTCGTACACACGATTTTACAGCACCAGTACTTTGCGAATGCAGTCATCAGCAGTTTGTGATGCTTCAACGGACTCATAAATCTTGGAAACGTATCAGTGTTTTGACCACCATCATCTCCATCATCACAACAACAACAACAACAACAACAACAACAACCGCAGCAGCAGCAGCAGCAACGCTGGTGAGCAAGAACAGGATTAGAAAGAGCGAGCAACAATAACACCCGCATCTCAGACAGTAGAGCTCGCACAACATAATGCCCATGCTGGATGCTCCTAAAGCTTTGCTTTCTGGATCAAGTATCGTCGAGGTGACAGAAACAGAATTCTGCTTCCTGGATGCACAAGCGGTATCAAAAGCATTACAGATATCTTTGTTTCATCATAGAATAATTTTGGTGTTAGTTGCCATTGACACAAAGAATGTAGTAGCATATCTGTAATCAGGAAGAAGTAGGAAGTATAAAAGCTTTACCAGGGACCAATTGCATTTGCAAAGATGGTTTTTTCGACCTTGCTTGTCACTGGAACGTATTCCAAGTTGATTGTTGTACGCCCGGCATTGTTGATCCAAACGTCAAGCGAAAGGCCAAGGGATTTGAGCAATTCTACACCCTTTCGTATGCTTTCAAGATTCTCGAGGTCAAGGACATGGGTATGGAGACGTGCACGTACTTCCTGGGAAGAGTTGATCCATGCTACAGTTTCGTCAAGCCGATCAGCGCTTCTCCCAGTGAATATGACAGTATGACCCTCAGAAACGAATCGCTTCACTGCTACACGACCAAGTCCGCTGGAGCCTCCAGTAAGAAGCACGACTTTGCTGCTGCTATTTTAGCCGCTGCTGGTAGTGTCTGTTGTTGTTGGCGCCATAACTTTTCAAAGTTTTTTTACGTAGCTTTTAATAAGCATTTTTACCATCCCGGCACTTGCCAAACTGCGAATCCTAAGTCGTAATCATCTAGCTAAACAAGGACATATGTGAGGTGTTCACTTTTCCGTTCCTGGTGGATTTGATATAAAGTGGTCTGCTGACTCGCATTTCCCAAAATGTAACTGCTGGCGTGCTTTGTTGATCCATTTTGAATGTGTTACAAAAATGACAAAGGGCCCCATCATATGTCGGAAACCAGCATGCAGCATTGCAACAGGAGTATATTCGAGTTGTAAAAGGTCGAAGTTGTCTGTCAAACGTAATAATCATGATAACTGCACATAGAAATGTATATTAAACATGGCTTTATCGTATTATAATGGTCAATAAATGGGGCTTCTTTTGTGTTATATTGTCGTACATGCTGCTGTCAAGAGAGGTCCATGCCTCACACCCAGTTTGTCAACAGAAACATTTCGTCATATAGGTTTTCTCGTTGTGCGGAGCCAGCCATTGGTGCTCAGACGAGCCGAAAGAACTCGACGCCTAGTATGATACAAGTTGCTCAACAACATTCGAGAGGCTAATGGCGATACACTGAAACTACGGGATGAATCTCGTTGCCTATCACGCATCACAAAGTTGGACGGATTAATCAACATTTTTAAAAGCAAGTATAGAATATAGACTGGTAAACAGGTGAATAAATCGGTTAAAAAGACCAAAGCAGTTCCTTTCATCTCTCTCTCCTTAAGTAAATTGATAAGACCACCTCGTATAAGAAGAAGCAGTACTCCCTGCTCTCTCTTTGATGTTGCAACAGAAAAAAACAGTAATAGTAGAAGCTATCTCAACACGAAAATGTATAGCAACAGCCGCCAATCATCGACAAGTTGATCCCCCAGTACTTGTGCACATTATGCTTGTTACAGGCAACAAGATCGTTATTAACGACATTGTTACGAATATAAACCATCACATTACTTATAAGTTTCACCTGGTTCTACCTGATAGAAGAACTAGCACCCATCGGCGCTTATTTTTATCTCTTATAGTGAGTCATCAACGATTATAACTTATCAGGCGCCTAACCTATAATCTCAAGCTTACGATTGGCAAGCAAGTTGCGCAATGGATAGTATGGAAATAGAGTTAGGTTGCACGCACTGCTGCTATACTATGATGTCTATACGCGCGATTGACAGTAGCAGCAGATTGACACGTTTTTCAATATACCTTTTAAAAAGCGTGGTTGCTGTTCTCTTTATAAGCACAGTATATACACTATTTGGCCAAAAGAATCAGAGATTCATGTCTTGATCGGGACGATCAAGGCTCATCTAAAGGTGTGTGCGTGTGGAGAAGTAGAAAGGGCGGCGCAGTTTACAGAAAAGGCAACCGAATAGGACAAAGCCAGCGCAGCGGATGCGCCGCAGAATGTTGATTCGACCAATCACATTACGACTTTTAACAGACGTCACAATTTGCTTGCGTGTGTGTTGTGTGAGTGCGAGTATGTCCAGGCGGGTTAAAAAATTAACAAAAAGCGGATTGCTACGAGATTTTTTGTTATCCACCGATCTCTTTTCTTCTTCATTCATCCTTTTTCTACTTTTTTCTTCTTCTTTGCCTACAACCCTCTCTCTTTTTCTCTCCTAAAGGTAAAATGTCGTACGACGGCGAAAGCATTGGGCGAACTACCGGACGTTGTTTCTTTCCCTCCCAACCTCCCAGATCCATCTGTTTCTCTTTTCTCTCTCCATTGGGAAAAACCGTGCATCATCGCGTTTAAAATCCTTTTTTTGTTGACGGCATCATCCATCAATGGGGTCCCAGTATTTGATATTTCCGCATGACCCAACAGACGGCAGCATGATTCAAGGATTGCGTTCTTCCTGAAACAGATCACGCAAGCAATCTTTTAGTTTGACAATGTCATCTTTGGAGTGGGCTTCTTGGCGGAGCGTTTTGACACCAAAAGACCATCACCAACACGTCTACAACAACATCTAGCCAGAGCTGTCGTTTAAAAGAAGTGGGAGGTGAAAGAATACGACCAGCGCAGCGCTTATGTTACGGTTGGGCTTGTTCAGCCCCTGCGTTGTCCGGCTCTAGCCAGAAAGAAAAAGAAGTACAAGGGCTGCAAAAATTAACGATTGGACAAAGAAGAAGCACAAGTGCATTTCCTTGGTCACTCTCTCGTTTGTTACGAAAGGAGGTTTCCTCTTTCACTTTTATGGTACTCGCACGTACGCAAGCGCATCGACAGGCGAAGGTGAATTACAACAACAGTACCCACAACGGTGGCAGCAAAACAACAAAGACAGCAAAAGGAGCAGCAACAAAAACAGTCAACAAGTCCAGCAACATTAGCACCAGCTTTCACCAACGGCCCCTTTTTCTGGACTGGAACAACACGACGTCACTCACTTTATCACTTGCTGCTGCTGCTGCTCTGTCTGTTCTGTTTTTGGTCTGTCTGTCATTGATGTCATGTCACTTTTTACTGAGATGCCAACAACAACAAAAAATATTAATAATAACCCGATGATGCCGACCCACAAGGAAGGAAGGAAGGAAGGAGAAGGGGAATGATACCCCTGGGAGAAACGCGTCGAACAGTACCTTGCCCTTTCCTTGCCTTTCTGTTTTCTTTTGTTCTGCCAACCATTTCGTATCGAGAAACGATGATTTACTAAAAAACCAACCCGATTCCGTTGTCTTCTATGGCGACTGTTTCTCTCTCTCTCTCTCTCTGGCAGTTTACTTTTATATAACCGAACATGTCTGTTGCCGACCACACCGACGATCTCATTGACTACGAGGAGGAGGATGAGCAAACCATCCAACAAGAAACTGCTGCCACTGCTGCCGCCAAAGACGCCGATGCCAATGGTGCTGCCGAGGGTGCTGGCGATGACAAGAAAGACAAGAAGGGTTCCTATGTCGGTATCAGCTCCACCGGTTTCCGTGATTTCCTGTTGAAGCCTGAGTTGTTGAGAAGTATCGTGGACTGTGGTTTCGAACATCCTTCAGAAGGTATGATAATTATATTTTGTGCACACAGTGTGGTCTTGAACAAGAAGAAACACAGGATCGGACGATCACTAAAGACACATACACACAATATACACGTTTTAGTGCAACAAGAGTGTATTCCTCAGTCGATCTTGGGCATGGATGTCATTTGCCAAGCCAAGTCTGGTATGGGTAAGACTGCCGTGTTTGTCCTTGCCACCTTGCAACAGATCGAACCTATCGACGGTGAAGTGTCTGTCGTTGTCCTCTGCCACACTCGTGAGTTGGCCTTCCAGATTCGCAACGAGTACAACCGCTTCAGCAAGTACATTCCTGATATCCGCACCGAGGTGTTCTATGGTGGTGTCCCTACTGCCAAGGACATTGAGATCCTGAAGGATAAGAAGAAGTGCCCTCACATCCTGGTCGGTACCCCTGGTCGTGTCTGGGGCTTGGTCCGTGACAAGTATCTCAAGTTGAGCAATGTCAAGCACTTTGTTCTCGATGAATGTGACAAGATGTTGGAGCAATTGGGTAAGCTTTTGGCTCTCTCTCTCTCTCTCTCTAAATATATATATATCATTGGCTTGAAAGAAAAAAGAAACGGGAAAGACTGATCTTGTTTGAATTATGAACAGACATGCGCCGTGATGTCCAAGACATTTTCCGCTCGACTCCCCACCACAAGCAAGTCATGATGTTCTCTGCTACGCTTGCCAAGGAAATGCGACCCATCTGCAAAAAGTTCATGCAAAACCCACTTGAGATCTACGTCGACGACGAAGCCAAGTTGACGCTTCACGGCTTACAACAGTTCTACATTAAGCTCGACGAAAAGGAAAAGAACCGCAAGCTCAACGAACTGTTGGACAGTTTGGAGTTCAACCAAGTCTGCATCTTTGTTCGCTCTGTCCCGCGTGCCAACGAGTTGAACCGTATCTTGATCAGCTGCAACTTCCCCAGTATCTGCATCCACTCGCAAATGACTCAGGACGAGCGTATCAAGCGATACAAGTCGTTCAAGGATTTTGAAAAGCGTATCATGGTTGCCACCGATATCTTTGGCCGTGGTATCGATATTGAACGTGTCAATATCGTTATCAACTACGATATGCCTGATGGTGCCGATACCTATCTTCACCGTGTTGGTCGTGCTGGTCGTTTCGGTACCAAGGGTCTGGGTATCAGCTTTGTCTCCAACGAGAAGGATACCGAAGTCCTTAACGATGTGCAGAGCCGTTTCGAAATCAACATTTCTGCCTTGCCCGAAGATGTCGACGTGAATGCCTACATGGCCAACTAATAAAAATAAAAACACAAACAACACACACACACACACACACAGAGTATATATATACGTTATCTGTAGCTTTTCGCGCGTAGCAGCGGTAAACAGGCATTCTACACCACAAAACAACAATTCATATTCACACACACTCATAACACACCTCTTTCCCTGTTTATTTTACCTTTGTGCACCTTTAAAAAAACAAGTTATCGTCTCTCCCTTATTAAAATGGATTTTTGTTTTACTTTACGAAATATAAGCAAAATACATTGAGAGACACTACAAACACGATAGGCGTTGGTTGCCCATTCAATACGAGCGTGACATCTGAAATGATACAACAGAAAATAACGGTCTCGACAAGGCAACCAAGAGTACTGTGCTAAGTGGCGTGCTGCCGCCGACTTTGAAGTCGTAAAGAACATCCTACATATTCCTCCTCTGTTTTTATCCTTTTGTATTTTACTATATTTCGTCTATTTTTTATTACTAAAGGTAAACAAGACAACACATCCAATCACCAAAAGAGTACCACATCCCTTGTTCACCGTAAAACCTGGATGAATTAAAGACGATCTAGTTAGTACTTTAAGGAGACGGGTATAAGTAAAGGAACAGAAGAAGTAAAGAAACTTACACTGTGCTCCATCTGTCGCACAGTACCAAAAATGACTAATACCATAGACGAGGATGGCCCGAATTGCCTGCAGAATTCCAGTAGCAACCTAATTTATAGAAAAAAAGGGTATTTTTGATTTATATGCTGTGCTCATCGGCAGAAACGCCCCGTACTCTCCTAGCTCTTTTTCTGCAGTTCTTGACGCCACCAGCTAACTATGACTATGCATGCGAGACCCCCTTTTCCCCCTTCGCACTCTTCTTCAAAAAGCCACTCTTGCTTAAGTTATCGTCGACAAGTCAGGGTATGAAACTTACACTGCCCGTTGACTCAAGTAGAGTGTAATAGTTCCAAGCATGGGTCGCGTTTACAATGGTGACAAACGCGTACATGGCACCAACGTTCTGATATGACACAATTGGATCCATATGGATAAGCTGATCGAGTCGTGGCATAGTATATAAAGCAATGTAGATCAAGGTGATCAGAGATGTATACAGGCCATTATAAAAGCAAAGACGGATCGGCGCTGGCGCTGGGTTTTGTCTGGATAATATATGGTCGCCGTAGACATATACACACGCTATTTATCGTATATATAATGTAGAAAACTTGATCAGAAAAGAAAAAAGTAGTATATTCTGCTACATTTGGGAGAGAAGAGAGAGAGAGAGAGAGATAAACATATATGCAGGGATGATGATGCTCTTTATTTGACATACCGTACAGAAAAGTGCCACCGACTGTCAAGGCAGTGCCAAATGCAAGGCTACTATCGGCTTCTTGTTGTGCTGCTGTTGTTGTTGTACTATTGATACGTGGCCGAGTCATGCTATCCATCGCACAGAATGTCAATCCGATGCTCGTTCCGACAATTGCAATCCATTGGTTGATTGATAGTACTCGGTGCATGAATATGTAACTGAGAATAGCGCACCAAATAACAACACTACTGAATATCACTTGGTACATCTAAAAAAGAGTAAATATGTTGTGAGCCCCCTTGTTCTTTTGCAGCAGTAGCAATAGTATTTAATGTATGGAATAAACAAAACAGTATTTAACAAATGCTGATTGTACTACGCACCCCACTGCCGATAAGTGAAAATCCAACTGTCACAAATGCACTAGCGATCATATCGATCGTGGCAAGTCGAGCAACTGCGAAATGCTCAATTGCGCCATCACCCTTACTAGTAAGCTCCTGTTCTCCTCCCCCTCCTCTCTTTTCTTCCAAGTGGATAACCGAGTACTAGATTATAATAAAATTGTTGGGAAACAGGAACCCGGTTTTGTCAGACTGCTGTTGTTGTTGTTGTCAAGTGTGTTGATTTATATGTTTTTGCCTCAACCAGTGGTATCAGTTATCTGCATATTACCGCATCTTCTTCAACCGCTGAATCATGGTCCTCGTGTCCCTTCTCTATTGCTACTGCGGATGGTGGAGATGATGATGCTGTTGTTGTCGTATGTGACGACGACGACACCGCCGCCACTTTGGCTGTCGGTCGTGCAGATGATAATTTCGGAATGACTAGTCCAGCCAGCATACTCCCAACACAACCAGTGAGTTGAGTGAAAAAGCTTGATCCACCTTTCATAAGAAAAGATTACTATGCGTGTTGGCAACTTCTTTTTTTTATGAAGAACCTAGACGATGCCAGAAAATCTACAACACCAGCACACAACTCGCTATTTATCTTTTTGGTAAACCCCTCTCTTTTCTTACTTGCCGCGCCTGTATAGAATAAGTATTGCACACCCAAGGTCGAACAGACACCGGTCACCAGGAACGAAATTTGGTGCAACCATACAAAAAACTGTTCATTTCCCACAGTTGATAATTGCTGGTGTGGCCCACTCATCCAAATAGATTGTGCAAGAAATAAGGGAATAACAAATCAAGAGAGAAAGAAGAGAGAAAAGCAGTGATTGAAAATAGGAGCAGCAGCAGATTTCTTTTTCTTGTTGTGCAGGAGGAGAAATGTCGGGAAACGGAGAAGTGACAAGAGAAGGAAGGGGGTGGTTGGCTGAATAGGTGAGCTATTCACAGTCTTTCTCTATTTAATGCTTTTGTTCCAGAACAAACTTGTAAGCAATGGCGCCAGCAACCAAAAGAGCAGGTAGTAAGACTTTCAGGAACCTGAGTCAACATGGAAAAAAAAACACATACGTTAATAAGCGCAGCATATACACGGGTAATTCTCTCTTGTTCCTTTTTTTTCTTTCATGGGGCAATGCACTCAAATGCACTTTGGGAAACTACTTACGATCCACCCTTCTTCTCTTCAGGAAGTTCACCGGCACGGATCGAGGTGTATGTCTTTTCTGGAATGCGCGACGCCTCATCCAACTCGCCAATCAGGTACTTGGAAAGATAGTATTCACGAGCCTCGTCCGAGTGGCCAATATCCTCGAAAGCCTCGGTGGCATCCTTGCCTGTTGTTTGTTAATGAGATTATCAATAAATTGGCTATACAAAACATAGCTGTGCCTAACATATCCTCTCTTTTCGACACTTTACCAGCCTCATCCAACAATACTTCTTCACCTATAAACATGTTTTATCAAGTTAATTTTCTTTTTTCTTTTGGCGCATTATATCGGGTTATTATAGCCCAAATCGAGGCATCAGATCACTCCACACAAAAAAAACATTACCGCCAGGATGCTATATCAAGGGAAAGTTAATATCTAAAACTCGGGAATAAATTTCACTTCTTCTTGCTCTCAAAATACAGACCTCTTGAATGAACTGAGTAATGTCGTACACGTTGTTGTGAATTACGAGCCAGAGATCACTCTTGGTGTTATGCTTGGAAACGTCAGCGAGGGAAAAGAGGGTAGCCATAATTGCTTAATAGTACAGAGTGGGGGGAGATGTTTAGTTGAAAAGAGATTAAAAGAAGAAAGTTACTGTTTCTAATATGAATACTAGAAAAGTGGGACGACTTTGTGTCTAGTTATTATTTATCATATTCTCAGGTTGCACAGAGCGTGACGGATAGTGGGTAAAGCGTACCTTTGATTCTTTTTTGTGTTCGGGCAGAGGTGCCGAAACCTGTCTCCGACCCCGGGCACACCTTTGTCCGCGCCAATTGCACCTTTTTAATGCAAAAACCCAACACACGAGTAATTTTATACGAGTATTTGCTTTTTTTTTATATTGACAGTATATGTTTTTCTCGTCAACGAGTGAGCAGAGCTAACATTTTTCGAGTGGAAAAGGGAAGAGAAAAAGTGTGGTTTGTTGTTATGCATAAATGTTGCAACGGCGGGGAGAAAAAAATATAGAAGAGAGAAAAAGAAAGTGAAGAAGCTATTGTTGATATGTGGAGAGAAATATGTGGAAATAATAATAATCGTCGTCATCATCGTCAGATTATATGTACAGATAGAAACAAAAATAGTAGTAGGCTTTGTCAAATGAATAAGAAAGAGAAGAGATATAAAGAGTTCATGGCTGTATACAATAAGCAGGTGTGAGTTGTATAGTTGTTGTGGCTGTTTGTCGACGGAATCAAATATAGAGAAAACAGCGTTTGAGGGGTAGTAGTGAACATGATATACGTAATACAGAGAGAGATGGAGAAAGAACAAAAGAGAGAAAATATGCCAAACTGCTGTGGTAAAGGAGTAAAAAAGGAAGTGTAGGCTAATACGAGAGGGAAAAGAGTAAAATGTATATGTGAAATGTGTTCTTTTCGTGTGAAGTAGTACTGGGTATATATGTGTTGTGCTTTTTTTGCAAGTGAATGATGGAAGAGGGTGTTGTTATTGAACGAATGATGGATATGTATACATAGGGTTGCTGAATTGGGTATATGTGTGGGTTGCTTATTTCGGTCTGAGGAGAGAGCAGGAGCCGCGGCTATGACCGTACTATAAATCAAGTAGTGGGCAATTATTAGCGACATTTGGTTTCTATAATAACATATGAATGATGCTAATGGTCACCTGGCCACAATGGTTGCTATGGCAATCAATAAAATGTTTCCATGACATTAAATAGCGTAATTGAGAAAGTAATTAGTAACCAAAGATACTGGTACTAATAGCAATTATTGCCATGACAAAGAACAAGCATAGCACCTACCATTGTCCTCCAGTCAAATTTATCGGCGTCACTGGTTGGGGCATGATGAAGTGCTTCTTTGATCTTTATAATACAAGTTGGTAGAAGAAGAAGAAAAAGTACACTAACTGAACGTAGAGTAAAGCACAGATTTCTTCGATCGCTTATATAGCTTTTTTTTAGATCTGAAAAAGAAAGAAGGAAGTGGGGTCTTTATTATGTATGATGTGTGTGTGTATGTTTATGGGCGAGCTAGATAGTGAGGATAGAGTAATGGGATAAAGGAAGCTAAAAGTGAACTGCATAGAAAACTCTGATGAAACGATATAGATGGAAAGAAAAAGCATGTTTACCCCGCCATTTTACTTCTTGCAATTTAACAAATAAATAGCCCCTTCAGTTGTTTGCAGAGCTTGTCAGCGCGTATTAGATGCTAAATGCAAGCAAACAGCAACAAATAACAAATAGCTAGCAGCAGCAGCAGCCAGCAGCAAGGTCCTGTGCATGCTGTATATGTATAAACTAGTCGTCCCCCGCTCACACCAATCAAGCGCATCTTTTTCGATTATCTTTTGCGAAACCCAAATAAATAATATTTTTACCATCATGTCAAGATAAGCACTATTAGATGATCAGGCTTTAAGTTGACATCTATCAAGTCACATTTTACGGTGGTGAAGAAGGCGTTTAGACTAAACTTCATCGGTCCCCTTCATCACATTGTATGGTGAGTCGTCGTTATACTGTAGGCTCAATTTTTCTTGATGATGATGGTGCAGGTAGGAGAGGACATGTCAACACAACAGATTTCAGAAACCAATTTACCTTCACGTTCCGGGTACCGGTGTTTACTATCACCAACCAATATAATATTATTTTGCGTATTAGCAAATACAACCCCAGAACTATTATGAGTTTGAGTTTTTTCTTCATGATGATCTCCACCCTCCCGCGTCTTTTTTATATTTCATGCCGCTTCTCCTTTTTTCCCTCTTCCTTTTTGTATGCGCGTATCACTTTATAATAACATGAATAACTATTATTGAAAGTACAGAGACATTTTTGGGTTAAAGGAAACCCCACACCACCGATGGAATTATTGCTCATACGCAGCAGAGAGAAATAGTGCACTATATCCAAAGTTTTCTGTCACCCTTCTATCTTCTTTCTTCTTTTCATTTTGCCGGATGAGTGCTCAACTTTAAAAAGAGACGCATATATAAACAATGCCACGACCATAGATTGAAAAAAATAAACATCTTCCCCCACCCACCCCACCCCCAAATTAAAAGGAAGGCGCATGTCAACGTTGATACACTGTTGTATGTAAATACTAAAACACGACGTCTATACGCGCGTAAGTTATTCTCCCATAACACCCTTTATTTACTTTTAGCTTATTAGGTTATAGTAAATACTAGGCTGATACTTTATGTACCCGGCAGCAGCAGCAGCAATAACAACAAATGATCTCTTTTATAATAAATGGTTGCCAAGACGTCAATTTGCTCCATTGTTTAGCTGCAGCATAGTACAGCACAGCAGCATGACATAAACCGTTCCTTTTTCTCTTTTTTCAGATTCAAGCACGGTATGGTAGTAGTAAGTCAATTCATACTTAGCAGTTGGTGCATGTAATGGTGCCTGGTGAAGGCTATAATTGGTGCCCCGCTTGCATGATCCTGGGCTTATTTTTTAACTTTGACGTGGCATTTCCACCCTCTCCCCCTTGTTTTCCTTGTTTTCTGTTCGAGAAAAAGTACATCCGTCCACTCATACACAAACACATACACATCGTCTTTTTCTTTCCCTGTCTTTCTGTCTTCCTTCACATATCTTTGTTCGTCTCTCCCCCACTCTCTCTCTTTCCTCCAACCCCCACCCCCCACACCCCCCCTCGCCCGGCCTCTCAACAGCCCCTCACGCGGTCACAGCAAGATTTTTACTGACATACGCCAAAGAAAGAAAGCTTGCATAACAGCCGTGATATCATTCTAATATGGTACCACCAGGCTCTTCTTCTGTGGGAGGAGCGACGACAACAGCTTCCACAAGCCGACACTCTGCTACCAACAACAACAACGAGCTGTTGTTGGCTGAACCATCACTACATCATCTGCAAGACCATCACATCAACAGTCGACAAAGCAATGACAATTGGTTACCGGGATCGGATCCACCCATCATGATGCAAGTCATGAATAATCAAGATGACAGTGACGGCGACAATGTATATATCGATCCGAAACACGAGAAAAGACTCATTCAACGGCTGGATAAACGGTTATTGGGATTCGCCATGCTTGGTAACATGGTCAAAGCACTAGACAATAGCAACCTAGGTACGGGAAATATACTGTGTTTAAGAGACTAGAGAGGCCGCGACTATGTGTGTGGAGTGGTCGGTCGCTTGGGGCTTATGGGAGGAAGGCGGAGATCCCTCTGTTATTCTTTTCCAACGGTGTACCTGTCGATCCTTATGGTTCGTGCTTGCTGTCTGATCTAAAAATAACTGTAAATGTCTGTCCTACATGTATCGCAATATATACAGGAAGCGCGTTTATATCGGGTATGGAAGAAGAACTCCACATTACTGGGCTTCAATATAATTGGATGAGCGTCATATTCATGGCAGGCTACTTGGTGTAAGTGTAATCTGATATTTTAGCTATGTGTTGTCGATGTATTACTTAACAAGAAAACCCCAATTTTATTAGGATGCAGATTCCATCAAATATGCTATTATCAAGATTACGCCCATCCATCTATTTGCCCTCGCTCGAGCTTATTTGGTGTGTGCTGACATTAGCCATGGCGTGTGTACAGTCCGTCAATGGCGTATATGTGATCCGTGTTCTATTGGGTTTGGCCGAGGCTGGGTTTTACCCCGGAATCGTATTTTTGATCGGTACCTGGTACTCCAAGCGCGAATTGGGTAAACGGATGGCCTTATTGACCATGTAAGCAAATTCTTTTTCTTTTTTTTTCCTACGTGATAAACAAAACAAAAAAATGAATTGACGATAAAAAATATGTATAAAAAGTTGTGGAGCTCTTGGTACAGGATCAAGTGGTGTCATTCAAGCGGTAATGCTCACAACAATGGATGGCAAGCTGGGCATCAGTGGGTATGCATCTTTTATCTTTTCTAAGTGAAGCATATTGGTTTTGGTCACTGATTTAATATTACTAGGTGGAGATGGATGTTTGTCTTTGATGCTTGTATCACTGCAGTTTTGGCTTGGTTCGGACGCCAGTATTTACCGGATTATCCGCACAATACATCGTGGCTAAGCAATAAGGTAAAAAAATAATGAATATATATATCCAGGTGAGGGTTCTCAGGAGCCAAAGATTTTAAAAGTGTACGTCTGTTTTTTGTTTACATCTTTTGAATCTGTTGTTAGGAACGAGATATTGCTATTCGACGCATGGGTGATGACACTAGCAACAAGCTTCATGACAGTGGACTGCTAGTGGTACCAGCAACAGGACCACATTCAAAACACGAAAGCACATCCGCATCTGTGCGAAAACTTTTACGCAATAAATACTTATATTTATTTGTTCTTGGCTGGGCATCGTTGCAGCTTTCCCTTGGAGCAGCGCATGTACTTGGCATTATGGCAAAGAAACTCGGCTATGATGCTGTCACTGCCAACCTACTTACCACGGTAATGGGCAGTACTGGAAAAGGTCTTTTTATTTGTGTGTTTTCATATATTAACACACTTAATATATCATGTATATATCGTCTCAACCCATCTTCGATTTCTCCGGGAATAATATAGCCAGATATGCTGATTACCATGACTGCAGGACTATGCAATGGGTTTATAAGCGATCGAATGAGAACACGCTTTTGGTGAGTCATTTAATGGCTGATTACATATATGTTAAACAAACAACACAAAAAGTATGCTTTGCTGCTGCTGTTGTTGTTGTTGCATATCTGCATTAATGGGTATGCACACATTGTATATACTAATTAAGAAGGACCTGCACCGTTGGTATTTTATCTATTCAGGTGCATCGTATGCCCCGCATTATTAGCCTTTTTCGGCCTGGGGATGTTGTCATCGTTTGTGCAACCCTTTGGATTACTGTATGCTTCGTATATATGTACCCATGTTGGATTAGGATCTATCACTTCAGTAAGTTTTCAAAAACGCTACGTGCTGGATATATGTATACAGTTGATAAGTGGATGGAAAGAGGAAGAGGACTACTATTTAATGACTAAGTGTGGGACAAATTCAAAATAGATCATGATGACTTGGGCCAGCGAAACCATCTCACGTGATATAGGCGTCCGCGCACTCGCTATAGCTACTATGAACACATCTGCTTCGATCATGTGGCTCTGGTCTCCGTTAGTACTATGGCCTGTCACCGGTAAAGTTTATTATTATGTTTACTTTTTTAGTCACATGTGAATTTTTCGTATTTATTCATTACATATATCACACGTTTTGTTATTGTTTGATAGATGCACCACGCTACCGTAAGTAGATATTCCTTCTAACCGACCTTGAGAGAGATAGAGAGTATTAATCAGACACTAATAAACACTTGAATGTTATAGACAGAGGATTCACAACAAGTGCATGCTGTGTCGTGTTCTTCTTGATGATTGTTTCCATCATTGGATACAATATTCATTTCAAGGATAGACGCTCGCCCATCAAGCCCAAGAACAGCTCAAATAATTTGCGACGACAGTCGAGTGAGATCAAGGAGCCTCTGATGAGCCAACGATCCTATGAGGAGGACTAGCTACCATAAACGACCCGCCATTTCTCTATCCCCTTCCCAATAGCCTTACTACTTTCAAGCATAAATGGAAACAGTAACACACCTTTCAACATCTGTCCCCATCAACATCATCTATCTCTACATCATGTAAAAAACGAAACGTCTTTCATCGCTGCAACATATATATTTCCCTAATTAACCAGTGTAAACGGCAATACATTGTTTTGTTTTGAGTCGTATTCTGCAGATAGATACTCTGTATGAGGCTAGGTATGTAGTAAGGGTGGTAAAAGCGACTTTTAGTCGAAGTGTGTCGGTCGTAACGAAGTAGAGCAGAGTAGCGTAGAAAAGAATTAGTGTTGGAGAGGAAGAAGAGCGAAAAAGAATGTACAAAGGAAAAGAAAAAGGTATCGTATCTTGCTTTACTGCAAAGCCATGCCTGAAACACCTGGACCCACTACATTGTCTGCTTCACTTGCTGCTTCTGTTGTGCGTCGCTTGAGTTCTCCACCCGTCCGCATGTATTGACCCACCCCATTCTCCACCATATCATCATCAAAGCCTAACGATCGCCGGCGCCGTCGCTGTTGCTGTTGGAATTGCTGTTGCTGCGTATCCCCGCCATTTGATTTTCTTGCTTTGTATATTGGCTCATATTCCTAAATATCATATGCCACAACAAGTTAAAAACAAACGTATAATACAGATGCATTGAAACTGACAACAAGAAGACGCAAATTACGTACACTGAGCTGACTTTTGAATCCATCATTAGGATTAATGCACAGCCGTCTGTTCTGGACATATTGGTATGCCTGTGAAGCGTTCAAATCATAGGCCTGCATGATGAAAGCAATCACAAACGACGGACTCCGTGACATCCCACCGTTGCAGCAGACCAAGATCTTGCCACCCTGAACCAAAGTTTCATTGATATGGCCTGCTGCGAGCGGGAACAACGGAATGAGGTTTTGTGTTGTCGAGTCAGATACTTCCACCGCCCAAAAGTTGAAATGATTCACAATGTTCTCTGTTCGAAACAAACGTTGTTCGTTTTGATCTAAAAAGCAAAGAATATGCGTAATCCCGATTTCGTGCAGTCGTTGGACATTACGCGAAGCCGAAAATGGACCGAGGTAGAGACCTGGCTATATAGATAAAAGAGAAAAAAGAAGTATACGCCATGCCCCCGGCGCACGTACACCCACACACACCAGACTGTGAGAATCAAGAACGTTGAGAAGATAAGTCGAGTTTTTGCTTGGTCAAGTAGCGAAAATTGGGGAAAGGGGTGGTGTTCAGGGAAATTGGAGAGATGGATTTTGAACGTGTAGATTGTGGGTGATCGTTTGGGTTTTTTTTTTGACGACAGAACTTTACCAAGACCTCTTGCATTTCTCGTCGCATTTCGTAATGCCAGTCGTCTATTTTGCATTGCGAGCTTTCGGATTCGATGTATGCCCTGTCGATTTCCACTTGAGTTTGTGCAGGTGCGATTTCCACATTGGTGTTCATTTTTTATGTGTATGAAGCGGAGAAAGAGAAGGAGAGGGGAAGTAGATGGCTGCATTAGACTGAAAGATATTTATGGCGTATTATTCGTTACCAATGAAACTACTTTTCGGCGCTAAACAATAACAATAACAACAGCAACTGACAGCTAGTAAATTAACTGTTACCCATTGTTTCTTTAGATATAATGCAAATGGAGCATCTATAACTGTAGCCATGAAGAATAAGCTCATGGTAGCAATAACAAAGAAGATTTTTGATTACTAGAGTGTATTTTATTTACGGGAGTTGCTCTCTCAACGCATATTCTAACGGACTGCAGTTGCCAGTCGTTGTTCATTTGGATGATATATCTTTTTTTTGGTGGATCTGTTTGCAACAATGCTGCATGAATGACGCGGTAGTACGGTTCCACCCTTTGTAATGGTTCATTTTCTTTTGTTCGTTGATCGTCTTCATCAATATATCATTACTTTTAATGGCGACTCGGTTGTCAGTAATGTTGCTGTACAGTCTGTCGCTCCTTTTCCTAGCTGGTTCTCACCATCCTTTTCTTCTAATCACTCGATCATAGCTGTGGGTCAAGAAGATGAAGTCGGCTCACTTTCATATTATCACTTTTGTCATCGTCTACACACCATGAAACATGGTACATTTATACCTTATAGTCAATAACTAGAAGCACACATATTCTTGGGTTCGTTGTTTCTATTATTGCTTTGCAATCACTATAATAAGCTTTTTCTCTGTCTTTGATGACCAGAACGTCCGTCACTGATATGCTATATAGAGGGGCTGAAACGTGACAGCCTCATTTCTTGGACTGAACACATTGTAGGCTACTCGTCGTCGTTGCGATCAACAAAGCGTCGTATATCTTTTTGAATGTGTCGTGAACCTTATAGGCTCTTGAGAAACAACAAACAGTTGGGCAAATTGGCTTAGGCTACTTCTCTTGCCCAAGTGTAGTATTAATAAGAGGGGAAGGTCATTAGAATACTTTGATACCTATCAAAAAGCTGGAACTGCATTCCAACACGGGTCACTTGGGTCGGCGGACTTGGCGCGATCAAAAGCGGGGACCAGCGCGTTGCGTACCTTTTTTTCTTTGCTTTGCACCTTTCGCCTTTTTTCATTACTTCTTCTTGAAAAGAGAACGTATACGGCACAGTAACCCACACACAAAAAAGAGGAAGAGAGCGCTTGTATATATTGTATTTTGTCTACTTGCTTTCTGCTCTGTCTCTTTCTCTCGTTGTACTATTTATAAAAAAATTTTACCCCACACTTCCATAAGCTCATTTCAATCTCGGTTGAGCTAAATACCCTCTCTACCCATCCCCCCAACACAGGAAAATGCTTGAGGACGAGACAGCACTCGCTCCTGTAGCTGCCATTGGTAGTACTCCTGGTGCCCCATCCGAAACGACTGGTGGCGGCGCCGCCGCCACTGCTGCTACCACCCTGTTGACAATTGACCCAAAAATGCTGCAAGATTACCTCGAGCAGTTACTGCCATTAGTTTTAGGCGCTGAACTATCCGATCTCGAAAATACCATCTTTGCGTATCCAGACACGTATGAAAAGTTCAAGCGATTTGCAAGTGATGCCCAAAGCCCGGTCCTTTATATCTTAAAAGAAAGGGAAGGTGGCAAAGATGAAGGTAAAATACAAATTTACCACCACGTAGAACACTATTGAATAAAAAGAGATACAACTGACTTTACTTGATGAAAAAAAATTGACTCGCATCAGACGAGGCTGGACCAGCAACATACACGTATTCGCTGTCGCAAGAAATCACTTACTTGCCTACTCACGTGGGCTCGTTGGCTATTATCAAGCGTGCTGCAACTCTGGATCCTTCCCGCCCACTGCAATCTCAGCTGCAGTTTATTAATTTGCCTGGTGCACCCAATGCTGGCGAGCCGGGCCAGACCAGTGCTTACGAGTTTTTGCACTCGTACATCCATTTGGCAGTCAGCCCTTACTTTAATGCCTACGTCAATGCTCGTCATGGCACCGTGGCAGAGTCAGGTGGAAAGAGCAAGAACGAAGATAACAAGATGGGTGTCCCCATGGCCAAGAAAAAGATGGCCGAACTGGAACTCAGTTTGCTGCACTTGCAACAAAATGTCGAAATCCCTGATATTTCCCTCAATATCCACCCTGTTGTTCAAAAGGCTGTTGACAAGGTATGAACGGATCACTCTTCATCGGTATATATGTGTGAGAAAGAAAGAGTGTGTGTGATGAAAAACTAATTGGATCGTGATACAAAAAAAAATCTACAATGTAGTGCCGAGAACAAGGTCGTCGTGTTACGGTGGAGGCCATTGATTCCAATCATTTCTCGGACTCGTCGTTCTTAAACAAGCTTCAGGGCGACGTCAACGGATGGATCAAGGAGATCCAAAAGGTAACCAAGATGTCACGTGACCCTGCAAGTGGCACGGCCATCCAAGAAATCAATTTTTGGTTGAGCATGGAGCGAGCTCTTGAAAAGATTGATGAACAGCTCAAAAGCGACCAGATTAGTAAGTTTATTTGTAACTCGCTCGTCGCTATAGCAGTTAATGATGTATGACTAACAACAATAACGTAGCCTTGACCTTGGATATCTTGAAGCACGCAAAGCGTTTCCATGCAACTGTCAGTTTCATTGCCGATACGGGTCTCAAGGAGGGCATGGAGCTTGGTAGGTCCTAGAAAGCATCAACTAAGAAACTACATATAAAGGCGTACAGGATGCTAATTCTCCTATATAGTTCACAAGTACAACCAGTTGATGAAGGACTTCCCGCTCAACGAGCTTCTTTCCGCCACTGATGTTGACAAGATCCGCGAATCGCTTGGTCTTATTTTTGGCCATTTGAACAAAAAGCTTAAGCTTTCGTAAGTTTCTTTACCTTTTTTTTAAGGAAGGCAAGATTGACTGATGCACAACTCCAACTCTTCGCTGTTTGTAGTCCTTACCCTATTCGCCGTGCATTGCCATTGGTCGAAGCCATTTCACGCGATCTAAACGACCAGTTGCTCAAAGTATTGGGCAGTCGTCGATTGATGTACATGGAATACGAAGATTTTGAACGAACAACGGCTGGCGCGGAAGCAGTATTCCAGACCTGGGATGATTTGATCAAGGAGTTCACCAACGTGGCTCGTGATGTCACTCGTAAGCGATCTGAGAAATTCTTGCCCATCAAGATCAATCCTGCGCACGCCAAGTTGCAAGAACGTGTGACATTTGTCCGTGCGTTTAGAAAGCAACATGAGCAGTTGCATCAAACCATTGTCAGGGTCATGACAAGTCCCCGTGCCAAGAAACAGACGGTTGTTGTTGATGGTCAGGTCAACAAAGTCATGGAGGAGGAAGAGAGTATCAGCATTAGCGATATCAATGCTGTGGAAGAAGTCAAGTTGGCTTATGAGAGCGTCAAGAACATTGATGTGCTCGATGTAACTCCTGGTAAAGAGAAATCCTCATATTCACCTTTCTACATGTCTGTGTGTGTGTGGAAGGCTGGAAACTAATGGTGGCTATATTGCAGAGGGCACGGAGATCTGGGTTCAAGCTGAAACGGCCTACAATGAGCGTGTCTCCCGTGTCGAGAACCAGATCATTGCTCGACTTCGCGATCGTCTTGGTACTGCAAAGAGCGCTAATGAAATGTTCAGAGTCTTTTCTAAGTTCAACGCACTCTTTGTGCGACCCAAGGTAAAGAAGAAAATTTAAAAGAAACCAAATTTATGCAATTACTTAAAGAAAATCATTCAATTTGTAAAATGACAGATTCGAGGTGCCATTCAAGAATACCAAACCCAGCTCATCGACAGTGTCAAGGAAGACATCAACAAGCTCCACGACAAGTTCAAGATGCAATACCGCAACTCGGAAGCTTACTTGATGGCCCAACTGCGTGATCTTCCTCCCATTTCCGGTGCCATTGTATGGGCTCGGCAGATCGACCGTCAGTTATCCTTATACATGAAGCGTGTCGAAGACGTGCTTGGCAAAGGCTGGGAACTCTATGCCGAAGGTCAGAAGCTACAGATTGAAAGCAACAGTTTCCGCAAGAAACTGGATACGCGCCTGATCTATGAAAACTGGCTTCAAGAAATCACGCGTCGAGATCTGTCCGTTTCGGGTCGTATCTTTGAAGTGTCACGCAACCGTGTACAGAACTCGCTTCAGCTCGGCGTCAACTTTGATGGTCAAATCATCACCTTGTTCAAGGAAGTCCGTAATTTGCTCTGGTTGAACTTCCAGGTGCCTCATACCATCTCAAATGTCGCCAAGGATGCCAAGCGTGTCTATCCATTTGCTGTGAGTCTCATGGAGACCGTCCGCACGTTTTCCCAGACTGTGCACAAGGTGAACCGTAATCCTGACATTACCACGTTGGTTGCTGGTTACAGAAATGAAGTTCATGTCATGATTACCAAGGGTATCAATTTGCGCTGGGACTATTTCGTCAACACTTACGATGCACATCATCGTCCATTGTCATATATCACTGGCACCCCCTTGGATGCCAGAGAAAACCGCCATGTCATGTTTGTCCGCGAATTTGCCAATGTGGTCTCGGTGTTCCAAGACAAGGTCGACGCACTTATCGGATACTATGACGATATCAATAAGAGCATCGAAGAAATGAAGGCTTGTCCTTATCAAGTGGACCGTCTTGAAGACGCCCTCGGCCGTATTCAAAAACTGGTAATTTCTTTTCTTATATTTAACCCGTTATTTGCCATGGACAAATATGCTCAACAAAACCTATTCTGTATTATAGATCGATCGATTGAACTTGGAAAACTACTCCAACTTGGACCAATGGGTTGCTGGTTTGGACAAGCGTATCGAAACTGTACTTATCAGTCGATTGCAACAAGCCATTAAGGCCTGGACCAATAGCTTCAAGGGCATTGACGAAGAAGCAATTGTGCCTGAAGTCAGCATCTCCAAGAGCCGTCGCAAGCGTAAGGCTGGCGCACGCGAGAACAGCATCGCCTTGGTGGAAGAAAAGATTGCTGCTGCCCAAAAGTCACCTGAAGTCAAACCTGCGTTGCAAACACTGGTCCACGAGGTTCGTATCCGCAACCAAGTCATGTACCTTGACCCACCCATCGAACAAGCCCGTGCCAGCTGGTGGTCACAATTGCATGACTGGCTCTCAACCATCTGCCACTTACCGCGTGTGCAAAGTTCTCGTTATGAAGGTGGTTTGAGCGTCAAGGACAATCCATCTGTCGAAAAGACGTATGCCAGCCTGTTGACACGCATGGGCGATGGCTCGCTCAAGACAGCCTACCAAATCATTGAAGACAAGATCGGCCAAGTCTCAGAATATGTCAATATCTGGCTTCAATACCAATCGCTTTGGGATTTGGAATCGAACCATGTGTTTAATATCCTTGGCGACGACTTGTCCAAGTGGCAACAGATCTTGTTGGAGATCAAGAAAGCTCGTAGCACTTTCGATAACTCGGAAACTGACCAGTCGTTTGGTCCTTTGGTCGTGGACTATGAACAAGTTCAGAGCAAGGTTAATCAAAAGTACGATCAATGGCAGCGTGAGATCTTGAACAAGTTTGGTAGCATGCTGGGTACTTCAATGCGCGATTTCCACGTCTCTGTCTCAAAGGCCCGTTACGAGTTGGAGCAGCAGTCTATCGAGAGCAACTCAACGGGTGAGGCCGTAACATTTATTACGTTTGTCCAGGACCTCAAACGCAAGGTTGCCAAGTGGAGCCAGGATGTCGAATTGTTCCGTCAAGGTCAAAAGACTTTGGAGCGCCAACGTTTCCAGTTCCCCAACGACTGGGTGTACGTTGATCAAGTAGATGGCGAGTGGAGCGCCTTTAATGAAATCTTGAGCCGCAAGAACAACGCTATCCAAGAACAAATTGGTAACTTCTTTGTTTTACTCATCAAAAGTATTCTGTCATGTTTTAACTAAATGTATATTACCTTGTACAGCTGGTCTGCAAATGAAGATTGTTGCTGAGGACAAGGTTGTCGAGCAAAAAATCCGCGACATTTGCGCCGAGTGGGAAAAGAGCAAGCCTGTGCAGGGTGATATCAAACCTGATATTGCCACCAACACGCTGTCCATCTTTGAGGGCCGTGTCACGCGTCTCAAGGAAGAGTACGACATGGTCTGCCGTGCCAAGGAAGCTCTTGATCTTGAGCAGACATCCGAAGCCCGTCTTGATCCTGTGCTTGAAGAATTGCGCGACCTCAAGTCTGTCTGGACCGCACTTGCCAAGGTTTGGCAATCACTGTACGAAATTCGCGACACGCCCTGGTCTTCAGTCGTGCCACGCAAGGTTCGACAAAGCGTCGACGAACTGGTCAACTCGACCAAGGAAATGCCCAACCGTATGCGTCAATATGCTGCATACGAATACGTTCAAGAAACACTACGTCAACTTTTGCGCGTCAATCCTATTGTATCCGATCTTAAATCCGAAGCATTACGCGAACGTCACTGGCGTCAAGTCTTCAAGGCGCTCAAGGTGGAAGGTCGTTTCACTCTGTCCGAAATGACCATTGGTCACTTGTGGGATCTTGACTTGAAACGCAACGAACAACTGGTCCGAGATGTCATTCTTCAAGCTCAAGGTGAGATGGCCTTGGAGGAGTTCTTGAAACAGGTCAAGGAAACCTGGGCCAACTATGTGCTGGATCTGGTCAACTATCAAAACAAGTGTCGCTTGATTCGTGGTTGGGACGATCTGTTCAACAAGTCGAGTGAGCATATCAACTCGTTGACAGCTATGAAATTGTCGCCTTACTACAAGGCGTTTGAAGAAGATGCTGCATCGTGGGAAGACAAGCTGAACCGAGTCCACGTCTTATTTGATGTCTGGATCGATGTCCAGCGCCAGTGGGTCTACTTGGAAGGCATTTTCAGCGGCAGTGTCGACATTAAGCACTTGTTGCCCGTAGAGACTTCTCGTTTCCAGAGCATCAACAGCGAATTCTTGACCGTCATGAAAAAGGTGTACAAGTCGCCGTTCGTCATGGATGTCTTGAATATTCCCAACATTCAAAAGTCGCTAGAACGTCTTGCTGACTTGCTTAGCAAGATCCAAAAGGCCCTTGGTGAATACTTGGAGCGTGAGCGTGCCTCGTTCCCTCGTTTCTATTTTGTTGGTGACGAGGATCTGCTCGAAATCATTGGTAACAGCAAGGATATCCTGCGTATCCAAAAGCATTTTAAAAAAATGTTTGCGGGTATTGCCACAATCTTGTTGAACGAAGACCAGACAGCCATCCTAGGCATGGCGTCCAAAGAAGGCGAAGAGGTCCAGTTCAAGAACGAGGTGTCTATCAAGGACAATCCCAAAATCAACGACTGGCTTACCTTGTTGGAAAAAGAAATGCGTGTGTCGCTTGCTATGCTCTTGACCGACGCTGTCACGGAACTCGAATCTATTTACAATGCTGATGAAATGAGCTCGGATGACTTTATGGCTTGGATCGATCGTTATCCTGCTCAGCTTGTTGTACTTGCTGCTCAAATCACCTGGACTCAGTCTGTCGACAAGGCGTTAAACACCGTAGCCGAAGCCGGTAATGGCGACTTGGCACCGCTCCAAAGCTCGATTGGACTTGTCGAACGCAACCTGAACGTATTGGCCGATGCTGTATTGCTCGATTTGACAGCTATCAAGCGTCGCAAGTGCGAACATTTGGTTACTGAACTTGTGCACCAGCGTGATGTTACACGTCAGCTGCATGAAAACCGTATCACCTCGCCCAAGGACTTTAGCTGGTTGTACCAGATGCGCTTCTACTTTAACGCTACTGTTGAGAACCCCATCCATCGTTTGACGATCAGCATGGCCAATGCTGACTTCTACTATGGCTACGAATACCTTGGTGTGGCTGACCGTCTTGTCCAAACACCATTGACTGATCGCTGTTACTTGACGTTGACGCAAGCCTTGGAACAAAGACTGGGTGGTTCGCCCTTCGGTCCTGCCGGTACTGGTAAAACAGAATCTGTCAAGGCCTTGGGTGTGCAATTGGGCCGCTTCGTACTCGTTTTTTGCTGTGACGAAACGTTCGATTTCCAAGCTATGGGTCGTATCTTCATTGGTCTTTGCCAAGTTGGTGCATGGGGCTGTTTCGACGAGTTCAATCGGTTGGAAGAACGTATCCTGTCTGCGGTCTCGCAACAGGTGCAAACCATCCAGCTGGGTCTCAAGGATGCCACCGTCAACCCGAACCACGAGATCGAATTGGTGGGTCGCAATGTCAAGGTCAACACCGACACGGGTATCTTTATCACCATGAACCCAGGCTATGCTGGCCGTTCCAACTTGCCGGACAATTTGAAAAAGCTGTTCAGAAGCATGGCCATGACAAAGCCCGACCGCGAGTTGATTGCTCAGGTCATGTTGTATTCTCAAGGTTTCCGTACCGCCGAAACATTGGCTTCCAAAGTCGTGCCTTTGTTCAACCTGTGTGCTGAACAGTTGTCGCCTCAGTCCCATTACGACTTTGGATTGCGTGCTTTGAAGAGTGTCTTGGTCTCGGCTGGTAATCTCAAGCGTGACAAGCTGACTTCTTTGCGCAAGGCTATTGAAGAAGGCACTGAGGACAAGTCCGAGTATGCTAGCATCTCTGAAACTGAGCCTGAGCAGCAGCTCTTGATTTCCAGGTACTTGACGCATTTACCTACTATAAGTACACCAACGGTATATGCATTAACATCATCTTTCCTCCCTCACTCTTTTTATAGTATCCGTGAAACCGTGGTGCCCAAGCTTGTGGCCGATGATATCCCACTCTTGACCAGCTTGTTGGCCGATGTGTTCCCTGGTGTACACTATGCACCGGTCGATTTGGACCGTTTAAAGCAGGAGCTCAAGAAGGTTTGCGAAGAGCGTCGTCTGGTGCCTGGCGACGCCTGGATGGAAAAGGTGATTCAGCTGTACCAAATCCAAAACATCCACCATGGTCTGATGATGGTGGGTCCCTCCGGTTCCGGCAAGAGCACAGCCTGGAAATGCTTGTTGACTGCCCTTGAGCGTGTGGAAGGTGTTGAAGGAATTGCCTATACGATTGATCCCAAAGCCATCCCCAAGGATGCCTTGTACGGCACTTTGGATGCCACGACGCGTGAGTGGACCGATGGTTTGTTCACCCACATTCTGCGTAAGATTGTCGACAATGTGCGTGGTGAAAGCCAGAAGCGACACTGGATTATCTTTGATGGTGACGTCGATCCTGAATGGGTTGAAAACTTGAACTCGGTGTTGGACGATAACCGATTGCTGACGCTGCCCAACGGTGAACGTCTCAACCTGCCGCCCAACGTCCGTATCATGTTTGAAGTCGAAACGCTCAAGTATGCCACCTTGGCCACCGTCTCGCGCTGTGGTATGGTCTGGTTCAGTGAAGACGTCATTGCGCTATCCATGATCTTCAGTAACTACCTGGAGACCTTGCGCAACGTGCCCATGGATGAAATTGAGGAAGAAGGTCCTGCTTCGCGTCGTCTTGGTGATAATGAAAATGAGCTCGCATCCATTTCGCCCAACTTGGCTACACAGCGTGCAATCGCTGCTATCATGGAACCAGATCTCTCCGATGAGTCGGGTCTTGTGGCCAAGTCATTGACTTATGCTGCCACTCTGGAGCATATCATGGACTTTACTCGGATGCGTGTCTTGTCGACCTTCTTTTCACTGCTCAACAAGACGGTCCGCAACGTGTTGGAATACAATGCTCAGCACCCCGATTTCCCTATGAACGGCGATCATTTGGAAGGCTATATCACCAAGCGTATCATTTACTCGATCATTTGGAGTTTCTCTGGCGATGCCAAGTTGGACTTGCGTACGGTCCTTGGCGACTTCATTCGTGGCGCTGCAACATACGAGCTGCCACCTCTCGGTAACGACACAAGCATCATTGACTATGATATTGCCGTCAACAGCGGTCAATGGGTGCCGTGGGAGTCCAAGGTCCCCACTGTGGAGATTGAGACCCACAAGGTATCCGATGCCGACATGATCATTCCTACCGTTGACACGATCCGTCACGAAGAAGTGCTTTACTCTTGGTTGTCTGAGCACAAGCCTTTGATTTTGTGCGGTCCTCCTGGTTCCGGTAAAACAATGACCTTGTTCAGCGCACTGCGCAAGTTGCCCGACATGGAAGTCGTCGGTCTCAATTTCTCTAGTGCTACTACCCCTGAATTGATTTTGAAGACATTCGAGCAACACTGCGAGTACCGCAAGACCCCCAACGGTGTCATTCTGTCGCCTACCATGATTGGCCGCTGGCTGGTTGTTTTCTGTGATGAAATCAACTTGCCTGCTACTGACAAGTACAACACCCAGCGTGTCATTTCGTTCTTGCGTCAATTGGTCGAATACAACGGTTTCTGGCGTACCAGCGACAAAGCTTGGGTCACACTTGAACGCATCCAGTTTGTCGGTGCCTGTAACCCACCTACGGATCCTGGTCGTGTTCCTCTTTCGCATCGTTTCTTGCGCCATGCTCCTTTGGTGATGGTTGACTATGCTGGCCAGACCTCATTGATACAGATCTATGGTACATTCACGCGCGCTATGCTCAAGGTCGTGCCTAACCTGCGTGGTTATGCCGAGCCGCTCACAGCTGCCATGGTCGAGCTTTACTTGGCATCTCAGCGCCGCTTCACGCCCGATATCCAAGCTCATTACATTTACTCGCCTCGCGAATTGACCCGTTGGATCCGTGGTATCTATGAGGCCATCAAGCCGCTCGAGACACTGACGGTGGAAGGTCTGGTCCGTATCTGGGCGCACGAAGCTTTGCGTCTATTCCAAGATCGTCTCGTGGATGAGGAAGAACGCCAGTGGACCGACGACATGATTGACTCAATTTCCATGAAGCATTTCCCTGCGTTGAACAAGGAAGAGGCCTTGGAGCGACCTATCCTGTTCTCCAACTGGTTGTCCAAGTACTACGTACCTGTAGGGCGTGAACAATTGCGTGATTATGCTAAGGCTCGTCTCAAGGTCTTTTACGAAGAAGAATTGGACGTCGCATTGGTTCTGTTCAACGATGTCTTGGAACACGTCTTGCGTATCGATCGTGTGTTCCGTCAACCACAAGGTCACTTGTTGTTGATTGGTGTCAGTGGCTCTGGTAAGACGACCTTGTCTCGCTTCGTTGCTTGGATGAACGGCTTGAGTGTGTTCCAGATCAAGGTGCACAACAAGTACACCGGTGCCGATTTCGACGACGATTTGCGTAGTGTTTTGCGACGTGCTGGTTGTAAAGGCGAAAAGATTTGCTTTATCATGGATGAATCGAACGTGCTCGACTCTGGTTTCTTGGAACGTATGAACACACTGTTGGCCAACGCTGAAGTGCCCGGTCTTTTCGAAGGCGACGAGTATGCATCACTCATGACGGCCTGTAAGGAAGGTGCTCAGCGTGAAGGTTTGATGCTTGACTCGGGCGAAGAATTGTACAAGTGGTTCACGCAACAAGTGATGCGCAACTTGCATGTGGTGTTTACAATGAATCCACCCGAAGGTGGTCTTGCCTCGCGTGCTGCTACATCGCCCGCCTTGTTCAATCGTTGTGTTTTGGACTGGTTTGGCGACTGGCCCGACCAGGCCTTCTATCAAGTTGGTATGGAGTTTACCAATACGTTGGATTTGGATGTACCCACGTTTGCGCCACCACTCAACTTGCCCATCGCATACCGCAACTTGCCTATCCCACCTACGCATCGCGAGACCGTGGTCAATGCCTTAGTATTTGTCCATCAATCGCTGTATGAAATCAATGCCAAGTTGAGCAAGCGCCAGGGTCGTTACAACTACTGCACGCCTCGTCATTTCTTGGACTTTATTTCGCACTATGTGCGTTTGTATAACGAAAAGCGTGAAGATTTGGAGGAGCAGCAGCGTCATTTGAACGTTGGCCTTGAGAAGCTCAAGGATACTGTCGTCAAGGTCGAAGAATTGCGCAAGAGTTTGGCCATCAAGAAGAACCAGCTCGAGGTCAAGAACCGACAGGCCGAGGACAAGATTAAGCAGATGTTGGCAGATGAAAAGGAGGCCGAGCAAAAGAAAGCGGCGTCTATTCAGATTCAAGATGCATTGGAAATCCAAAACAAGGTAACTTGGCTCTATTGTTTAATGACACTATATCTGAGGTAAGGAAATTGGCTACTAAACACGGCTTGTAATGCAACAAACAATAGGAAATACAAGAACGACGTGCTATCGTATTGGATGATCTTGCCAATGCTGAACCTGCCGTGATGGAAGCTCAGAAGAGTGTCAGCAACATTAAGCGTCAGCACTTGACCGAAGTCCGTGCCATGGGTAATCCACCCGAAGCCGTCAAGCTTGCCATGGAGTCTGTCTGCACCATGTTGGGCCACAAGATTGAAAGCTGGAAGACTGTGCAAAGCATCATTCGTCGTGACGACTTCATCACGAGCATCGTCAACTACAACACGGAGACACAGATGAACCAGCGTCTGCGCGATTTTATGCGTCGCAACTACATGAACAACCCTGCCTTTGAGTACGAGGCTGTCAACCGTGCTTCCAAGGCCTGTGGTCCTCTTGTTAAGTGGGTCACTGCTCAGGTGCAATACTCTGACATCCTCGACCGTGTTGGTCCCCTCCGTGAGGAAGTCACTCGTCTCGAACAGAGCGCCGAAGACACCAAGCTGAAGGCTGCCGAGATTGAGCAAATGATTGTTGATCTGGAAAACAGTATCGGTCGCTACAAGGAAGAATATGCTGCACTGGTTGGTGAGACACAATTGATCAAGGCTGAGATGGATCGTGTCAAGAGTAAGGTTGACCGCAGTGTGACCCTGTTGAGCAGCTTGTCGTCCGAAAAGGTGCGTTGGGAGACCGCCAGCCAGGCTTTCGAGAGCCAAATGGGCACCATTGTCGGTGATGTCTTGTTATCGGCTGCATTCTTGGCCTATGGCGGTTACTTTGACCAGCAGTATCGCGAGCTCTTACTGTCCAAATGGACCGATCATTTGGTATCGGCCAACGTTCAGTTCAAGCAAGACATGTCACTTACGGAATACTTGTCGACCGCCGATGACCGATTGTCATGGCACGCCAACTCGTTGCCTGCCGACGATCTGTGTATCGAGAACGCCATTATGCTCAAGCGCTTTGATCGTTACCCATTGATCATCGATCCTTCCGGTCAGGCAACCAACTTTTTGATCAACGAATACAAGGACCGCAAGATCACCGTGACCAGTTTCCTGGACGACTCGTTCATTAAGAACCTCGAAAGTGCCCTTCGTTTCGGTAACCCAATTTTGATCCAAGACGTGGAGCATCTTGACCCTATCTTGAACCCTGTCCTCAACAAAGAGTTGCGTCGCACCGGTGGTCGTGTATTGATCCGTTTGGGCAGTCAAGACATTGATTTCTCGCCATCCTTCACTCTGTTCTTGTCGACGCGTGATCCTTCCGTCAACTTCCCGCCGGACATTTGCTCGCGTGTTACTTTTGTCAACTTTACAGTGACCCGGGGCAGTTTGCAGAGCCAGTGTTTGAACAAGGTTCTCAAGGCCGAACGACCCGATGTTGACCAAAGACGTACCGATTTGATCAAGCTGCAAGGCGAATTCCAGTTGAAGCTACGTCATCTTGAAAAGTCGTTGCTTCAGGCTTTGAACGAGTCCAAGGGTAATATTTTGGACGATGACAAGGTTATTGAAACCCTGGAGACGCTGAAGAAGGAAGCTGCCGAGGTTACTCGAAAGGTCGATGAAACCAACACGGTCATGCAAGAAGTCGAACAGACAACGGCCGTTTACACTCCTTTGGCCCATGCCTGCAGTTCCATCTTTTTTGTCATGGAACAGCTCAACTTGATCCACCACTTTTACCAATTCTCGCTCGACTTCTTTTATGAAATCTTTGAGTACGTTTTGCACGCCAACCCGAACCTCAAGTCGGTATCTGATCCTGGCGAACGTTTGGCCATCTTGTCGCGTGACTTGTTCTCCGTCACCTACAAGCGCGCGTCGCGTACATTGCTGCATGAAGACCATATTACCCTCGCTGTGCTCATGTGTCAGATCCAAATCCGTGGCACTCAGGACGGTGTCGATGAAGCAGAATACGATTTCTTGTTAAGTGGTGGTGATGTGGTACCTGGTTCGACAGTCAGTGCTTCTAGCTTGGGCTTGCCTGAATTTATTCCGGACGAAACTGCTCAGCGTGCCAAGGAGTTCATGTCCTTGCCCTGCTTCCAAAACTTAGGCGATCATATCAAGCAGAACACTGAAGAATGGCAAAAGTTCATGGACCATGCCCAATCCGAAACAGTGGTTCCTGCATGCTGGGACAACTTCGGTCAAAGCAGTAAGTTTATATTCAAGCATCTACATGATTGCTTATTACCAGACAGCGTAAGTAACAATGACCCATGATATTAGATGTTGTGGATGCGCTTAGACGCATGTTGCTTGTCAAGTGCTTCCGATCAGATCGATTGCTCCCTGCTGCTACCATGTTTGCTGGTGAAATCTTTGGCAATGACTTTATCAATTCAGGCGAACTCAACTTGCAACATATTGTCGGCAACGAAGTCACTGGCTCCACACCTCTTGCACTTTGCTCTGTTCCTGGTTACGATGCCAGTTACCGTGTTGATAACCTTGTATCCGAAAGCAACACGCGCTGCACATCAGTCGCCATGGGCTCAGCCGAAGGTTTTACTTTGGCCGATCAAGCGATCTCGACCGCCATCAAGACGGGTAACTGGGTCATGCTCAAGAACGTGCACTTGGCACCATCCTGGCTTGGTCAGCTCGAAAAGAAACTGCACAGCATGAAGCCGCATCCGCAGTTCCGTCTCTTCTTGACAATGGAAACCAATCCCAAGGTGCCTGTTAACTTGCTGCGTATGTCTCGCGTATTGATGTTTGAACCCCCACCAGGTATCAAGGCCAACTTGCAAGAATCGCTTCGCAGCATTCCTCCTTCACGTTTATCGCGAGGTCCTACCGAACGTGTGCGTCTCTACTTTATGCTTGCTTGGTTACACGCTGTCGTGCAAGAACGTTTGCGCTATGTGCCTCTGGGCTGGACCAAGACATACGAGTTCAACGACTCGGATCAAGACTCTGCATTCAACACGATCGACAAGTGGCTAGACTCTGCTGCTGGTGGTCGTGCCAATATTTCACCCGAAAAGATTCCTTGGGATGCTATCCGTTCGCTTTTGAAGCAATCCATTTATGGTGGCCGTATCGACAATGAGTATGATCAACGTCTGTTGGATTCGTTCGTCAACACCTTGTTCACGCAACACTGCTACGATTTGGACTTTGAAATCGTCAAGGCGACGGGTGACAACGAACAGTCGGTTGTGGTTCCTGATGGAACCAAGATGGAGCAATTCTTGGAGTGGGTAAACAAGCTGCCTGAACGTGAGCCACCTACATGGCTCGGCTTGCCCGGCAATGCTGAACGTGTCCTGTTGACGCTTAAGGGTAACACCATGCTATCCAAGGTGCGCAAGATGAAGAGCACCAGTGACGACGACGAGGTGGCCTACGCCCAGGATACTGCCAAGCAAGCGTCATCGACAACAGCGCAACAACCTGCATGGATGCGAGCCCTCAGTGCCTCGATCCAGGGCTACTTGGAGCTCTTGCCCAGCAACATCACCATGGTTAAGCGTGATAGCGCAGGCATCATGGACCCATTGTTCCGCTTCTTTGAGCGCGAAAACCAGATGGCACGCGGCCTGCTCAGAACCATCCGCGACGACTTGTCCGCGCTTCAAAAGGTGTGCAATGGCGAGCTCAAGCAGACCAACCACTTGAGACAGCTGATGAGCTGGCTGACCAAGGGACTGATCCCTGACCACTGGCGACGCTACAAGGTGCCCAAGAACATTGGCCTGAACATCTGGATGGTTGATCTCAAGTCGCGTCTGGAGCAAGTGGAGGCAATCGCGCACGAGACCTCGTATGGCGAAATTGAAGTATGGGCAGGCGGTCTGTTCAGCCCTGAAGCTTACATCACTGCGACACGTCAGGCGACGGCGCAACGCAACAAGTGGTCATTGGAAGAGCTTGTCCTGGAAGTCGATATTGGTGCTGAAAAGAGTGACGAACAGCAGCAAGGCTATTGTGTGCGTGGCCTCAGAACGGAGGGCGGTCGATGGGATGGCACAGAAGTACGGCTGACGTCTGAACCTACGACCAAGCTGCCAAAGACTGGTCTGCGATGGATCCGTAAGGACGCCCAAACTAGCGAATCAGAGAAGGTTGCACTGCCCGTGTACCTCAATGCAGATAGATCTGATCTACTGTTCACGATCAACGTGCCTGCTCATGCAGATGAGAAGGACCGAATTCCGCAAAGAGCAGTGGCCATCGTCATGTCTTTTTAAACGACTGGCTTACACATAGTTTAGGCTAGTCTAGTCTAGCTTGGACTATATATTTCGCTCTTACCTGTTGTATCATCATCGAGAATAAAAACCCTATTTCTCTTATAAAAGTTGATCGAAACAAACAAATAATCTGCAAGATAATACAGCAGGCATACATAAATACGCATGGCCCTCCTGAAAAAGTATTCCCTGCTTTCCCTCTCTCCCTTTCTCTCTTTCTCTCGCTCTCTCGCTCTCTCTCGATATCTCACTCACGCTCTAACTTTTCATTTTCCACATCATGGCATGTCAAACTAACTCTAGTCTACAATGGATAGCGGATATGGACGTGAATATCGAACCCACTGGCGGTCGCAAGTCAACCATTATTGGCACTATCGGTATGTATACTAGCCCAGTCAAAAAGAGAAAAAATAGATACTCTCTTACTCCCCATGCCACCTACTAACCACACTGTAAACTAGGACCTAAAACCAACAGTGTCGAGATGATTACACAGTTGCGCAATGCAGGACTTAACGTAGTGCGAATGAACTTCTCGCACGGTACTCATGAGGTATAAGAATCAGACGGGAAAGTCTGGGTAATCACGGGCGTAACGTGCAGCTGACGTGCATACGGTTCTATCTATGCCTATTTTAGTATCATCAATCCGTTATTGATAATACACGCAAAAGCGCTGAACGTAAGTCAATGTATTTTTTTCTTCCTCAAGCGACATACTCAGCCTGTCGAACCCGTCCACCATTTAGTTTATCCGGGTCGTCCTGTTGCGATAGCGCTCGATAACAAGGGCCCAGAAATCCGAACCGGTACCATGAAGGGCGGTGAAGATGTAAGTTCTTACCCTTCTCTCCTCTTAAGGTGTGAGACTTTAACGCCACAAATACACACACTTTGTCGATATTATTAGATCCCTATCAGTATCAATCATGAAATGACATTCACCGTGGACGAGGCTTTTAAGGACCAATGTGACGACAAGATCATGTACCTCGACTACAAAAACCTGCCGAAAATGATCAAGTCAGGACGTCGCATCTATGTAGACGACGGCGTTTTGACCTTTGAGGTGCTCGAGACAACGTCGGACACAGAAGTTAAAGTCAAAGCATGCAACAATGGCAAACTGTCGTCACACAAGGGCGTCAACTTACCCGGTACAGATGTGGACTTGCCGGCTTTATCGGAAAAGGATAAGGAAGATTTACGGTTTGGCGTTGAGAACAAGGTCGATATGGTCTTTGCTTCGTTTGTCCGCCGTGGTCAAGATATTAAAGATATCCGTGAAGTACTGGGTCCCGATGGAAAGCATATCAAGATCATTGCCAAGATTGAGAATCATCAAGGAGTGCATAATTTTGACGAGATTCTCGGTGAAACGGATGGTGTCATGGTTGCTCGCGGTGTAAGTCTTTCTCTGCAATACGTACATGATGTCTCAAGGACGCAAACTGAGAAAGGTTTATTTCAATCGGATGTAGGACATGGGCATTGAGATCCCTATCGAACGTGTCTTTATCGCACAGAAAATGATGATCACGAAATGCAACTTAGTTGGCAAGCCCGTCATCTGGTAAGGCGTCATGATACACTGTCTTTCGGGTATAGAAGGATTTTTTGTTCTAATCATACATTATGACGATATACACACATAGCGCAACTCAAATGCTAGAATCGATGACGGTAAAAAATCCCTATCATGGGAGCAACTGACGGGGTATTGGGGAGCTGCGTTGATGGTCGGAAAAAGATGCTGCAAGGAGACATACCCGGGTCAACTGATCACGGTCATTGGCAAACGTGATGGTAATTTTCCTTTATATTTAGGTTAATCCACGACCTACGCGTGCAGAAGTATCGGACGTAGCAAATGCCGTCTTGGATGGTGCTGACTGTGTGATGCTTTCTGGCGAAACGGCCAAAGGCAACTACCCGATTGACTCTGTTAAGACCATGCATGACATTTGCAACTTGGCCGAAAACGTGCTATGCTACCCTGCAGTGTTCAACGAGATCCGACAATTGAGCATCCTGCCTACGGAGACGCCCGAAACTGTTGCCTGCGCCGCCGTCAGTGCTGCCCATGAGCAACGTGCTGGCGCAATCATTGTGCTGACAACGTCCGGCAACAGTGCTCGCTTGGTATCGAAATATCGTCCTCAGGCCCCTATCATTGTGGTTACCCGCAATCCAATGACAGCTAGACAAGCCCATCTGTACCGTGGATGCTTCCCCTTCCACTACCCCAAACCGTCTTCCGCTGCTGCTCGCCTGTCGGCCTCCAGCACCAATGCTGCTCTGCTGAGCCCTGCTGAAATTGCTCCGTGGCAAGAAGACGTGGATGCGAGAATCATGTGGGGTATGGAGCAGGCTATCAAGTATAAGCTGCTCAAACACGGGGATCCAATTGTTGCTGTGCAGGGATGGAAGGGAGGTTTGGGCAATACAAACACTTTGCGCGTTCTCTTTACTCCATAAGATAAAAAAGTGCATAGCTATAGTGAGTAGCAGCAGCTAGTTTGTGTTAACGTATATGCACACACATCTTTATACTTCTTTGGCACCCAATATCTCACAACACTAAAAAGAACTTTACATCTTCTCTCTTGCTTTCATGATAGGATAGACTCCCTCTCTCTGTTTCTCTCAATGTATACCGTAAACATAAAAGGAACTCTTAAATTTGCTACTGCTAAAGAATTGCTTCTTTCCCACTGTCTTGTCGTATGAGTTTGTAAAGGGTTATTGATTTCCTACTCAGTATAAGATCTGCTTTTTGCTCTGTGTCAGGATGAGTAGCAATTGTAAACATATAACAAGTTGTAGCAATAATATTATATAAACTAGTTTCAAGGGCAAAGAAGCGCTATACTCGTGCAAAATCCATTTGCGCTGACGGTATATGTCCTACCCTTTTCCTGGCCTTTGTATTTTCCAAGGAATACGCAGTTGTCAAAGCTTCACCTAATACTCTGGTGTCGTGCCATTTATCAATAACATCAGATAGTCATCATGTGCCTCGGTCCGCTATTTAATATAGCAGTCGCGCAGCATACATACATGCATACGACGGGCTCTTATTGGCTACCAAAGTTAAACTTACTGATTATTTACACTCCTTGCAACATGATGCTTCTCTACATTTCGTACGCGACGGCGCGGTCTAATAAGGTTAGTTTGCAACTTCTCATCACAGGCTTTGAGAAGGATATTTGTATAAATGGGTAGCTTCTTGAACATCAGTACATTTCTCTTTCACACACTTTCTGTTCTCTCCTCTTTCTACTGATACTCTCTTTTCCACATCACCATGGGTTTACTTTCTTACGTTGTTGTCACTGGTGTTGGTGCCGCAATCACTGCAACTGGAGTCGGTGCCCCGATCGCCGCTTATATGGGCTTTTCCGCTGTTGGACCCGTCGCTGGAAGTCTGGCCGCGGGGGCGCAATCGTATGTCGGTGCCGTAGCAGCAGGATCCATCTTTTCTGCTTTGCAGGCGGCTGCTATGTCACCTTTTACTCCTTGAGCACTGCCCTTGCTTGACACCGGTTTTTAAACCATCAAACTCTTCTTTCCATACATGTAATTCTATCCTTGAACTATATTGTACGTCTGTCATTGTTTCTGTGTATAGCACAGCAGCACACGAATTTTTTTCTCGATCAATAAAACAATGAAATCAAATCATTTAAGATCAGCCCCAAATACAAACATGTTATGCAGCTTCCTTAGATCAACCTTTGCGGGTATATACGTTTGGTGTAGTAAAGACGTATATTAGCTTGGTCATTTTAACTTACTCACACCTCCAGATGCTAGCCTACATCAGCCTAGTCTTAGGAAATAACTAACATCACTGATAAGACATGGGTAAAGTTATGCTTCAAAATGTCATCCATCATGAAATAGCATTATTGAGCCTTCTTTTTCGCATACTCATCTTTTGCCAGACATGAATGAGCATCATCATGGGTTGTCTCACATATACTATCATTACCGGACTTGGTGGTGTTATCGCTGGAGCTCAATCGGTAGCCCTGAGGTGAAGCACAGTGAGCGTGAGTGCACGCTGTGTATTTGATCCACAGAAAGTTGGATAGCTTTTGTATTATACTCACCATACAGTAATGAATTATACACTAAAATGATTGTTTGTGCTTTGCGCAAGAAAAATCCAGCTATACATAATGTTTTTCAAAGCAAAACATTTCACAAGAAACTATGGATACAACACGTTTATTTTTCTTCTTATATGTAGGCCCTGTACAAGGGTTATCCAACTCTGCGTAAATGACTTTCTATATCATTATAGCGTATCAGAATGATGGGTTTACAACAAGAAAGCGATTTATTATAAACATAATAATAGAAGAATGCTGTATCACCTCATATTTATGCAGAAGATCCACAAATGAGATATCATTTCGTTGCTTTTGCTTTTTTTTCAAAAGTAAACGCTATCATGTTTGAAAACTAACCTCTGTAAAGTATCTGTACGTCCTTCCAGGTGACAGATACCTGTAATCCTATACTTTTTTATTGACTAATGTGCCTAAGTAATTGTGTTGGGAAAAAAAGGAAACAGCTCCTGGGTAGCTGTTGATATTTACTGTAGTATGGCTTTAACAGCATGTGTACTATCATGATAGCATAATGTGTTAAAATTAACTAGCTTCGTATCATTACTTGTCAAACGTGTCTTGCGACCACCAATGGTACAATCGAACCAATGGTTGCTCGTGGCGCGAATCAAATATCCCAAGGGAAAAAACTCGTTCATTTCCGCAACGTACCGCCAGCAAACTAAACTGCATCGAGGTAATACCACCAACTTAGCGTCAGTATACCCAAAATACTGCTACTGCTACGGCTCTTTTTTGAGACAGCAACATAACATAAAAAATGTCCTTGTTAGTAACTGCAAATGAGAAGATGAGTGATACAACTGCAATGTTGCCAGAACAATCGCTTCTATAGCTTCCATTGCTATCATTCACATCAGCTTCGACTGGCTTGTTTGTTGCTCTAACACAGCATCATTTCGTTTGTCAGTGACAACAGGCACGAGAATCGACACCTGACAAAGACAATTGCAATTGTACAGCTCTATATGGAGCCATAGTCACATATAAGGTTAATGGATATAGACGCTTCGCAAGTCATCGAATATCGCTTAATAATGAACCAGGCAGAAATGGTCCGCTTGCAACCTATTGCAGACCATGTTCCCTTGCTTGGCACCGTGCCAGAATCCCAGAAGTAACTTCTGTCGTCGACCTATTCAACCCAATGCTTGCACAGGCATGGACCAACACACGGGGCACTTACACACCCTCCAGAAAGAAAGAACGTTGCCCGCGTCAACATTGTATTACGTATAAAGTTGTTGCACAGAAAACCAAACGCATTTCTCCCTTGGACAGCATTGACCCTTCGTTGGCTGGTCTTACAGTCACCGAACCAAAACTCACTGCCGCTTCACGATGCTCATTATTATCCGTTACTAAAAGATTAATAGCTTCGCCTATGCTTTCCATGATTGTTTTCTGCACATGTGTCTTTTAATATAAAACGGATTATTCTCTTCCACGCTTTAACCCAAAGAGGTCCCTCGTGAGCGGTGCATCTGTATGCTTTGCTTGCTTCCAATGCATCACGACTCACGGCGGTACGCATTACGACTCGTTTCGATGCTCTCACTATCCTTTTCCTCGACCAATGCGCTTTCGTTACTTTCCTCTGGTGCCGTCAATGACTACAACAACACTCAATATTATGAAGGATGTCGAGTGGTATAACTGATGGTTGCTTCAGATTAACAATCGCTGCAAAGCTCTGAACGCTCAAACAGCCACTTATATATTTATTTGCTAGTAAGCTATTTTTTCATGTGTATCATCTTTGCTTATATAGTTTCTCATCAATAAAGATTTGTTGTTGCTTGAATGTACATCACCATACAAATACTTCTCTCTCTCTTTCTCTTCTCTTCAGCCACATGTGGTCAGCAAACAACAGTAGCTGTAAGGGCCGTGTATATTGTATAAATCTTCAAATTGAGATGCGATAATGACATGCACATTTCTTTTATCCTTCTTACTTTTACGAAAAGAAGTCATGTCTGAAAGCAGCACTCAGTTTTAAATCCAATAGGGCATGAGCACCCTAAACCAATAGACCTGCAGCCCCAGATGAGAAGAAGGTATGTGTGTATATTATAAATATCAGACAGCGTCTAGTGTACCTGTTGTACAGTCATTATTTTTATGTGAGAATGAGAACTAAGTATCAAAGCAATATGCATACAGTATATGCTATTATAAGACAGGCACGCGATCTGAGATTATATAAAGCTACTTTATTACAATCAGACTGTAATATCCAATAAACCAAAAGAGACAGAATAAGTCAACGAGACCCGAAAGGAATTGAAACTGGTTTATTATGATATCAGAAGCTCTCACTATTTATAAGAAATGGCTTATCCGTGGCAACTACCACAGCGTGTGCATTGAACGGATGAATTGATGTTATAAATCAATCATATAGGATCAAGCAATGTATGATGCGTGAGTAAAAGGTACATCCGGGTAAATGCCTCAGATAGTAGCTAATGTAAATTATGTGATCCAAATAATGACAACTTCTTCCTGAGTGTAATATCCAATACACCAAAAGAGACAGAATAAGTCAACGAGACCCGAAAGGAATTGAAACTGGTTTATTATGAGAACAAAAGTTCTCACTATTTATAATAAATGGCTTATCCTTGGCAACTACCACAGCGTGTGCATTGAACGGATGAATTGATGTTATAAATCAATCATATAGGATTAAGTAATGTGTGATGCGTGAGTAAAAGGTACATTCGGGTAAATGCCTCAGATAGTAGCTAATGTGAATTACGTGATACAAATAATGACAACTTCTTCCTGAGCATAGCTGATCGGTGTTTCACCAAGATGTGTATGAATAAAGAAATGTCCGCACAAGTGAGGTTATGAGGGAAATAACAGCAATCGTTAATGACCGATCGAAGAGTATGTATTATTAATCATGTTGGATACAACACAGACGACAACATTTCATAAGTATAAATTACCGTTTGTCACAGTTATATGCTTCACAACAGGTACCTAAAAAGACTGTACAAGCTACTGGAAAGCTCCAAAGGGCCCATAATAAGATAATATAATAATTTAGTTGAATCAGACACCGAGCAATTAGACAAACCCTAAACATAATTCTAAATGTAGTTTAATGAAAATTATTGTTATATTATATATACTCGTGTAAGCTTGCCATCCACCTGCAACTTTCACCTTTTTATTTCAAAATAAAGAACATCTCGTCGACAAGCTCCTTATGTTAGGAGCTTGATCAACAACACCACAACTATCTCTCTCAAATATGTAACCTCAATTCCTCCTCTTCCTCTCAGCCAGCCACTAATAGCAACAATCGGGCAGTCGGCGGCACCGGTCACGTCGCTGAATTGAACCTAGCCATGCAAGCATCCAGACAACGCACTCAAAGCACGACGCAGGAGCTTCGCCCCAATGCCACCAAGCTTGCATACTATCCCAAGATGAGCGAATTCTGCAAGTGGTGCGATGAAATGAAGTTCCCTGAGCCTATCCGCTATCAAGTTAATGGTGATAATTTGCATTTGTTCCTTGAACAAGTTGTAAGTATACTTTATTATTAGCAACTATAGAAAATTATGTGATCTGCTTAGACAACTTTCTATGGACTTCTTGCTTATACTTTATTGCATCTTGTATAAGTCATTGGCAGGATCCGTCGTCCCACAACCAAAAAACAATTAGAAGCCAATGCCGAGAGACAGACGAGCGACCATCATGATCTCGAAACGGAACAGGAAGAACACGAGCTTTACACGATCGCTTTTAGTACGATTGAGCAGTACGTCAGTGCAATTATCCAGCTTTTCCACAACCAATGCGGTCTTCGATTGAACGATCCCAGTAATAACCCACGAATTCCGGATGTGAAGTCGTTGCTAAGAAACGAAAGGAAAAAGGATATCAAGAGACGCCGTACAAACTTCAAAGATCGCGCTGCCGGATCTATTTTGGATGGATACTCAACGATTGAAGAACTGGCCAAAATCATTGATTACTTCCTGACGCACGACAGATCCGAACACTATTGAAACGCAGTCATGATGTTGGTATCACACTTTGCGTTCATGCGTGGTGAGAATGTTCGACAAATCGAGTTGGCAGATATACATGTTATCCCATTACAAGGAGAAGGATCCACACCTGGCAAGGAATGCCCTTGTTTGATTTTGCTCTTGGACCATGGCAAGACAAACCAGTTCGGTAAAGCAGAGCATGGATCTGCCATCCGGTGTGCGCATGTCGAAACCTATCTATGGATGGCTTTAGGATTATACTTTTTCCATCGTTGGCACATTTAAGGCGAACCATTCCCGGATATGACACAGCTTCAAACATGGTACAACATTAAACTCTGCAAGAGCGACCCTGCTGATTTAACCAAGAATGTCGAGCAACCGGCGCATTACAAGGCACTTAAAAAGACATTCGACGCATGCAAGATCGTATCAACAGCCGTTACGCATGCAGGAAGAAAGTCGGGAGCAAAAATGACGGATATGGGTGAGGCTGGTGATTCGGCTATCCGACGCGCAGGTCGATGGACA